AGGACAATATAAGAGTTGGATTCAAGGAGAAAGATGATGTCGATTGAATGTAAATTTAAATTTTTGACAAATATTATTTAATTTATATTTGCCTGTAAGTTACGACTCCTTATCTATAAACACTACGTATTTTTCTAGACGCCTCCATAGCGTTAGTCCTTTGCTTGAACACCCATAATATTATATGACGTAAATGCACTTTTAGTCCTTTTGTTAGCGGGATTAAGTAAATTATTCTTTAATCCACTGTGTACGCTGCTACAACTGTGAAAAACGAAGCATGTTAGTGGACTCCAAATTTACTCTTAATTGTCACATACGATTAGTAGCTCGAATGATACATTCATCATCCCACTTGCTTCCCCGCATCCACAAAAAAGAAATTAATTATTATTTGACTTAATATTATTGATGAGCACAATCTTAGAATAAGTTTTGCAAATAACTACGTGTTGATGCCAAACACAAAAATAAAATGCAAGAACGCCTTGCCAAGGTAGTAATGGAAGGCAAAAAGGCACTGACTATTTTGGTTTTTACGGTTTATCAACCTTTTTCAGTTTATTTAAAGCCAGAAAATATTTTAAATTTTAAAAATCTTTCGGAGATAACAATAATTTGCAGATATACCTCCGACTAATTAACCTACAGCTAGGGGAAAGTGAAGAATTCATACCTTTCCCAACAGTAATTTTACGTGAATATAAAAACTGCAAGTGAAATTGGAACTTGACTCTACGATTTCTAACTCTGAGCCGTTGTCTTTTACACCACACACACATCCAACCTTACAACATTTGGTATTCCCAAGCGGTCACCCATCTATATACTAGCCAGGCTCAACGTTGCTTAACTTCGGTTATCGTACGCGTCAAAGGAAATGATTAAACATCAATTGTTAAATTTTATGGCCGATATCAGAGAAAGGCCCCTAGATGCAAACATTGAAACAGTCAAAATCAAGCAAGGGCATATTCTGCAGCGCCGATTTCACGAGGTATGTGGAATGGTGGTCCTCGAGGTGATTTACAGACGTAATGACGCCTGTAAATCATACCGAAGCCATATTTTTATTCTCTAATCTCAGAAAGCGGTTGTAAAGTGAGAAAACTTCTCGTCTTACTCAAATTTATATTTCTGTATCGTCACAGAATTCGTTCTCTGTCAGCATGCAGACTGCTTGTTCCCAGTAGAGGTTAACGATTACTCGAATTAGTAGTGAACTCTATACTCACTGGTTGCCCGTCACAACTCTAGAGGATATCATTTCTTGCTTTAAATTTTTGGTTTTCAGAAATATATTTATAACTAAAAACAAATGACGAGTTTTTGATAAACGTTTCGAAATTGCTCTTCAATAAGGATTGCATCAATCCAGGATATATCTAACACCCTCTTCCCACTATCTCGCCCTCCCCTCTCTTAGAGTTAAATCAGACCCAAAATTGATTATTGCCGCCACATCTGTGCTTGTGTTGCCTAGTCTTAACTTTTCAAACTTGACAGAGTTCAAAAGCGATTACACGGCCCTGTGGATGATGAATTACTTTCCACGTTGCGAACCCTTTCCCATAGACGAAACGTTGCTACTCTATCACTATTTCTAAGGCTAATTTCCAGACAAGTTACGTTCCTTAGATCCACAAGTTCAGACCTTCACAACTAGGACCCCCCATGCCATTACGTGACGTCATCATTTCCTCGTTTCCTTTGTATTCTTTTGATAAGGAGAAACTTCCATTCCGACAGCTTCTTCTCCACAACTGTCACATTGTTGAAAAAACTCCTGATAGGATGCTTACCCGTATTATTCAAATCTAAGGTTAGCCGTTATCTCTCCTACTTATCCTTCTTTTACACATAACAATCTCATTCAGTAAACTTTTACTTTTTGTATTGGATGAATAAGAGTACAACCAAATTTAAGTGTCCGAACAATTTTGTAAAAAAATTGAAAATATTGGTGAGGTACGCTTACTCTTTGCTAAATAAACCGGTATTGAAATGATTTAATCGTCGTATAACAATGAGAATGGTTCGAGAATAGAGAAACTGAATCTTTCGATGCAGAGTTGAATTTGATGATGAAACTGGAGACATTACAAGAGAAGACAAAAAGAAAAAAAACATATCACGACGGATAGTGAGTTAGGAAAAGTGGAAATTAATACATCACCCGGCTTTATGGGCAAAACAAATGAAAGAAGAGAAAAAACAGTAAACACACGAAAAAATGTAAAGGGAGGTAAATAGAAAGAAGAAAAATAATGAAGCTAAAATAATTTTTTAAAAGGCGATAGAATAGAGAAGAAAAGTGGAAAAGAAAAAAAGCAGCAATTTAGAATCAATAGAAAGACAAAGAAAGGAGAGTAAAAAGAAAAAAGCAAAGAAACGATGAATGAAAGAATAAAAAAGAGAAGAAAAACAAATCACAAAGAATAAATAGAAAAGAGAATAGGAAAAAAGAAAGAGGAAATTAAAAAGAAAAAACAAAGAGGGATCAAAAGAAAAAAAAGAAAGAGGAAACAAAATGAAAGAGGTAACAAAAAGAAAAATAGAAAAGGAGAACTAAAAGTAAAAAGAAAGAAGGAACAAAAAGAAAAAGAAAGAAAGAGGGAAAAAAAGAAAAAAAGAAAGAGGGGAAAAAGAAAGAGGAAACAAAGTGAAAGAGGGAGCAAAAAAGAAAAAAAAGAAAACAAAGAGAAATAAACAGAATGAGGAAGCACAAAGAAAAAAGAAAGAGGGGACAAATAAAAAAAAAAAAACGAAAAGACGGAAGGAACAAAAAGACGAACAAAAAGAGGTAACAAGAAGCACGATGACAAAAAGGGAGAATGAAAAATAAAAAGACAGTAGAAATAAATGAAACCACTAAAGAAAGAAAAGAGAAAAAGAAAGGAAAAAGACAAAAAGAGAAAAAAAAAAATGAAAACAAAACGGAAAAAAAAAATAGATGAAAAAAAGAATTAAAAAGAAAAAGAAAAAGTAAAGAAAGAATAGAAAGAAACAAGGAGAAGAAAAATGAAAGACATAAAGTTTTTAAAAAATAAAGAGAGCAATGATAGAAAGAAATAGTAACTAAGAGAAAAATAGAAATACAGACGGATAGGAAAGAATAATCGAAAAGCTAGAAGGAAACAAGAGAAAAAAGAATAAAAATTCAAGAGTGACAAATTGAGAAAGAGTGAAAAATTGACAAGTAAAGCTCAAAAGATACAAACATGAGAGGAAGTGAAAGAAGCTAATTTGTTATTAGAGAAGCAGACAATAATAGATAAATAGAAAGAAATAATGAGCGACAAGTGGGAATGAGAAAGATAGGCGAGAAAGAAAGAGGCAAATAAAAAGAGTGACAAGAAGAACGGGAAGTGGAAAAGACGAATAAATGGTGGGTGAGAAACAATGAAGAAAAGAAAAACGGAGAAGTTTAAAGAAAAAAATGGGCAAATAAAAGTAAAAAAGAGGAGAAAAAGAAGAGAGAGAGAGAGAGAGAGAGAGAGAGAAAAGAAACAAGCGGGAAAATAAAGGAACACAAATGAAAAGATATAAAAACAATTTGAAAAGAATTCTCAAATTGAACTCAAAATATCATATAAAGCCAAAAAATATATATATATATATATATATATATATATATATATATATATATATATATATATATATATATATATAAAAAAACAAACAAACAGCGAGACAGAAAATAAGAAGAACCAAACAAATCTTTGAAAAAATCTGGAAATGGCAACAAATATGTAGTCATAAGAGGAGAAATGACAAATTAACAATTATTTGGGTGGGTGAGGTTAACGTTACGCTTTCTTCAAGAATCTTAAGACGCGAAGAATGTTGAGTGCAGCTATTTTGTCCCGTTCTTGAAGATCTTTTTTCTCTCTCATTATTGTTCATTTTCCGTTGGACCCAGTCTTTTAAATTTTTTTTTTTTTAGAGTTTTATTGTTTTATTATCGTTACAAAGAGCAATTGTATTCGCCATTTCGAACAGTCTCAAACAAAACGTATAAAGAATAAAAACAAACAAAAAAAAAAAACGAAAGAAAATACCAAAGAAAATATTTTTTAAAAATCAAAGGAAAAAAAAGAAAAGTAAAAAGCTTTCGAAAAAGTAAAAAAAAAAATACTATGAACAGAAGATGAGGACTGAATTGAATGATTTGTTTATTACGGGTTATCAACACTTTGCAGTTTATTTAAAGCCAGAAAATGTTTTTATTTTGCAAGAAATTTTGAGAAATAATAATGATTTACTGATACAAATCCAACTGATTAACCCATAGCTGGGGAAGAAGAGTTGAATTTATATCATTCCCAAGTGTATTTGCGCAAAAGTGAATATAATAAACCAGACAGAAACTGGAACTTGGCTCTTAAAGTTCGACTTTCGAATCGTTATCCATTACATCATCCTCATGTCCAAGATTTCAGCACCTGGTATTCACAAGCGGTCACTCATCTAGGTCCTGACCAGGCTCGATGTTGCTTAACTTCGATGATTGTACAAGAACAATTTTTTCAGAAGATGAGAAGAAAACAACTAACTTAGAGGAGGGAGTGAGGAGGAAAGAGAAAGGGGTGTGTAAGATGGTATAGCAAAGGGAGATAGAGGGAGAAGGGTGTTGAGAGAGTGAGTTTAAGAGTAGAGAGAAAGAAGAAGTGGGAGGAGGGATAGAAAGGGGGTGAGAATAAGTGAAGAAGAGAGGGTTGGAAAAAGAGAAAAATTGACAGTTTGAGGAAAGGGGCAACGATAAATTGTAGAAAGCAAGGAGAAAGAGAGTATATGTGAATGAGAGCAGAAAGAGCGAGTGGGGAGAAAGGGTGTATGTGCTGAGCAGGGAAAAGTGAAAGTCTTTCAGATAATTATAGATATATAAATTTTGGAAGTAAGGGAGAGAGACTGTGCAGGTATAAGTGTATAGAGATATTGTTGAAATAAGCTTAAACAGAGAGAGAGAGAGAGTGAGTGAGTGAGAGGGAAGTAGAGATAGTATGTTGAGTTAAGGATGTAAAGAGAGTGTGGGAAAATGGACATAGAGAAAATGTGTTTCTGCGTGCGAGAGAAAGTGTGAGAGATAATAAGGGTACAGGAGAAACTGAGGTGGGGGTGTAGGAATGCGGATAAAGAGAGTGTGCAAATAGGGATAGACAGTGTGTAAGGAAGGTAGAAAGAGAATGTGAATAGATAGAGACAAATAAAGAGAGAGAAAGGGTAGAAATAAAAATAGCAAGAGAGAGTATGTGAACAGAAGGGTAGAAAGAGAGAGTGAATGACGGATAGAAATAAATTATAAGAATAGCGATGAAGAGAGAGTAGAACTATTTTCGATAAATGGGCAGAGAGAGTGAGCAAGAGAGAGAGAGAGTGTGTGTGTGTGTATGTGTAGAAAAGGACTGTGAAAATAGAGATTAGAGTGAGTTTGTATGTGTATAATGATAAATAGAGAGTGTAACAAGAGTATAGAGAGAGGTTTTGGGAAAAAGGATATAGAGAGTAAAAAGGTGAAGGGGGAGTGTGAAAAGAAGTATAGACAGAGTGTTCCGGAAGAAAGACAGAGAGAGATTATGGGAATACCGGTGGGGTGAGAGTTAAGGAAGTTGGGGAAGATATACAGGGAGAGAAATATGGAGAGATATTGTGTCGTGAGAAGTAATATAGGAAGAAAGAGTGTGGAAAGGCTGTTAGTGAAAGTGTTAAAGAAGAAATGGAGGACATTTTCGAAATGATATGATCGGCAAAGAAAGCATTATTCGAAATTCACACACACACACACACACACAAACACACACACACACTCATATATATATATATGTGTGTGTGTGATAAAATAAAGAATAAATAAGAAACAAGACAAATTTGTTTATAACACATACAGTTTGTAAAAGCATATGCATAAACACAGCAAACATATATTTTATATAATATATGCTCCTTGATTAATTGAGCACTTTCGGTACGATCCTACATTTAAAAGCATACTTTAGTTATATTTTTTGGGCCGTCTGAGGATTGTGCGACTGTAACATTAACCACCTTTACTTTTAGCCGGGGAAAACAATGAAATTTAACTATATATATATATATATATATATATATATATATATGTGTGTACGCATATATATATATATATATATATGTACATATGTATACACACAAAAATATATATATATATATATATATATATATATATATATATATATATATATATATATATATATTAACGTAAGTGAATGTAATGGATTCGACTGGAATTCGAACTCGGCTCTGCGATTCCTCAATCCAAGCCGCTATCCATTACTCCACCGTGCCTCCTAAATACCCTTGGGAAAGGTATGAATCCTCTTCATCTCCCTCCAGCTATGGGTAAAATAGCAGGACAGACTGGGTTCTATAGCCTTGGATGGCAACAGGTCTAGGAGAAGGACAACTCTGAATTCAAAACCTGCGGAGGGTCGTTTGGGAACCTTGTGGCATTCGGTGCACCAGGTTTCTGTATTCGTCCCTCCAAAAAGTGTGGATGGTCCTGCACGAGGCCTTCACCACTATAATCAAATCTCATGTGCCGATGTCGGGATGTCGGTTTCCTGGAAACTTATCGGCCTGACCCTCATACGTCGAACTCGACGGGAGAGTCGATTATATATATATATATATATATGTACATACATACAAACGAACAATATTTAATTATTGGGATGTCCATCTTATACAAGGCCTAAGAGCCACTCGAGGGAGAGTGCTGAAGAGTAAGAGGAATAGATTATGGACGTATTTGGGGAAGATAGCGGTTGATTCTAGACTTAAACGTTAATATTGTAGTGAGTGGAGAAGCACCCTCTTGGGAGTCGGTTTCACAAGAAGCCGGTTTGTTTGAAGAAGGTTCTATATGAAAAAAAAAAGTAAGAAATGAAATAGAAAATTTTATGCCATCTCCACAAATCACTTATCAACGATGTAAGAGAAAAATAAGAAACATGTAACGAAATCGTATTTCCAGAATTTTTAAAAATAGTGAAACATTTTTTGTTGAGGAATACAGATTAGAAATTCCGTAAAAAAAAGAACATTTTCTATATATAAATTCATAATGTTGAATCTCAGGACATTTATCTTTTCATATGTACTCTTGTATTGCACAATGTAATAAAAAAACAATACATGTAACAAAGTCGTATTTAAGTAAATAACAGTGATATAGATCTAATCCGTAAAAAGATACTAATATTTAGTCAGTTCTACAATTTAAAAAAAAAAAAAACAATATAAAACACTGATTTTCTAGGTAAACAGACCCCCGCCATTTCAAAGAAAAAGAATGAAACTAAAATAATAAGAGTAAGAGGAAAGAGATGGAAATAAAAGTGAAAAAAGGAGTAACCAAAAAAAAAAAAAAAAAAAGGAAAAGAAAGAGAAAAAGAAAAAAGGGCGAGGCAAAGAAACGAGGAAAGGAATGGAAAACAAATCTCAAAAGAAAAGTGGGAAAAGAATAGCTGAAACAGAAAGAGGAAATTAAAAAGAAAAATCGTAAAGAATAAAAGAGAAAAGAAAAACGAAGGATTAAACATAAAGAAAAAAGAAAGTGGGAATAGAAAGAAAAAGAAAGAAGAAACAAAAAGAAAAAAAAACAAAAGGAACAAAAATAACGAAGGCGAGAATAAAAAGAAAAAAAAGGAACGAAAAGAAAAAGAAAAAGTAAACAAAACGAAACAAAAAAGAGAGGACAAAAAGAAAAAAGGGAAGAAAAAGAAAAAGGAAACAAGACTAGATAAGAAAGAGGAAACAAAAAAGAAAGAAGGAATAAAAAGGAAAAAAAGAAAGAGGAACAAAAAAAAGAAATAGAAAAAAAAGAAAAAAAAAAGAAAGGAAACAAAAAGTAAAAAGAAAGCGAAAGCAAAAAAAAAAACGAAAGCGGGACTAAAAAGAAAAAAAAAGAAAGAAGGAATAAAAAGATTGATGGAAAGAAAGGTGGAATGAAATATGAAAAGATATTAGGAGAAAAAAAAATAAAAAAAAAGAAATTAAAAAAATAAAAAGAGAAATTAAATCTAAAAAGCGGAAAATTGCGTAAAAATAAAATGTTCTTCGTTCGTGACTTATCCGTTACAAGTTAATCGTAATTAAGTACGCCTTTTACTTTACCACTAACTTACAAAATTTTACAAGAACGTGGATGCAATGAAACACATAAAAAAGACTGCTAGATCAATATTTCTACGAGGAAATAATGTTTACTATACTGGAATATCTGCATTCAGAATTCGAGTCTTTATCTGGATTCGAACACCTTCAACCCATAGAGAATATAATCTCAGTATCATTTTACATAAACCTAAAGCAAAGTTAAAATCAGAAAATTGTTGCATAAAATTTCGCATAGAAGAGACAGAAGAAAGAAAGATGGAAAGATTTTAGATAGGACAAGTGTAACGTTATATGATAAGTAGAAAGAATGTTGCGAAGAACAGTTAGAGGTAGAGCCAGAGCAGGCTGAAAAAAGACAAAGAATGAACGAAAAAAATAAAAAAAGGAAGAAAATAATAAAGGATAGATGGAATGAAAGAGGAACGGACAAAAAGCTGTAAGAAATAAAAAGTTAGAATTGAAAGCAGGGCAGAGGTCAGTAAATAAAGAATAAAATCGAGGTGGAAGTATTGAAGGAACGGAAAAATGAAGAACCGACAGCCGTAAGAAAAAAGAAATAACTAATGGAAGGATAGGCAGAAGGAATAAAAGAAAGGGAGACGACTGTGAGAGAAAAATGCAGACCAGTGAAAAATGGAGGAAATATAAGGTTGGTGCAAAAATAATGACGTAATAATGTCGTTTTTGACGTATTTTTTAACGTCAAAAACGACATTATTACGTCATTATTTTATTTTTCCCATTAATAATAAAGGAAGAAGGAAGGAAGGAAGGAAGGAAGGAAGGAAGGAAGTAAAAAGAGCTGTAAGAAAGAAAAGAAAGTAAGAAGGATAGAAAGAGAGGTCGAAGTAATGAAAGACAGAAAAAATGGAGCACAAGCAGCTGAATGAGAATGGAAGAAACGATGGAAAATATAAGTATGGAAGGAAAGAAGAAACAACAAATCGAAGTCAAGAAAGGAAGCAAAGAAGTGATGAGAAACAGCTGTAGTAGATAGCAATTGAAAGAAGGACGGTAAAAGAAAGAATAATAAAAATATTTGAAGTGTAAAAGGAAGGAACGATTAACACAAATACAGTTCCAAGAAAGCAACGAAATATAACAGCAAATGTAAAAAAAATAACTGTTGGAAGAATAGATGGAATGACGTCAGCAAAGAAGGAAAGATATGGTAAATACTAAGACAAATGCCAATGATTTCCAGTAGGTATAGACACACAAGGATATGGTTAAAATCCAACAGTAAGCACATAATCGATTCTTAATTTGCGGTATCTTTCACGAGATACAGATACAGGGTTTGATGGATAAATTTTCGTCTAAAAAGTGGAAATAACATTAGCATCTCATTTTAACAGATATATTTAACAAAATTACAGAAAAAAATATCTTGAAATGCTAAAAAGTAAATTTATTTAATAAAATCGCCATTGACTTCAGTCGTGGTCTCCAGACGACTTCAGAATCTTCGGCAAATCTTCTGGACGGTCTCCTTGTTTAAGTTGGTGAATGCTGCCATAATCCTTGCCTTCAGTTCATCTTTGATGTTACAAGGAGTATTGTTAGTCTCTTGCTCAACTACGCCCCACACAGGAGAATAAAGGTGTTGCAGTCTGTGGAGTTAGGTGGCCAGTTGTGAGTGGTCGCAGAAATTGTCTGACAGCAATGACTGGGTTCTCCTGCTTGTGTGGCATGTTGCAGAGTCGTGTTGCCACATAGAGGGTCTTCCAACAGCCACCATCTTGACCCACGTCAGCACTACCTCCTCAAAGTCACTTGATGTAGGCCTGTTCTTGGGAGGCTCAGTCCATTCTGAAGAAGGGGATTTGAAACATGTTTTTCATTACTAGTGATCACACCAAACGCCTTCGTAATCACCATTACACACATCCAACTCTGACCGAAGCCTCTACAGTTTTCAGGTTGACAACTAAACACTCTGAAATATTTGTATTGGAGCTTCCGGTGCTAATTCCAAGCAGTACTGCATGCCGTTTCCAAATTTCTGGCGGAGTAAATTGCGTCATGTTGCTTTTTTTTTTTTATAAACGATGCCCAAATAACTCTACTGTACTGTGCAGTAGACAAAATAAATAAACAAGCAACGCGCATGCGCGAAATTAAAAATATAAAATGGCAGCAATTTACACATTACATCCTGTATACTTGTACATATATGCCACAAAAAGAAAGCGTGTGCGCCGTTGTGTGATCATGAACTCGGGCCAGTGGCTAGATTAAACTAATAAGGCGTTCGCCTTATGTCAACATGTTTGGCACGATACGATCTGTTCCCGCTCCACATCCACCTCCCCGCCATGCTCTTTTCTCAATCAATATCTATTTCGCCTCTACGGTAAATAAGTAAACTTGTCAATAATGCGGAATTATAGGGCCGACGTATTTGGCCTCAATTCCCGCCAAAGAGAAAGAACTTTCCGGAAGATGCGCGCGCATGTGGCTGTAAGTGTGCGGGAAGTCGGTTCTCGACGGAGAGATGGTTTTAACGGCAGTTTAATAGCAAACGCTACCGAAACGAGGAAGCAGTTTTTAGCGTTGTATATCGTAATTAAGAAAGAGCGACGTATGTTCATGGCGTATATTAACCTCACAATCTCTTCTCTTGTCTGACTTCCGTAAAATTTGCCTCTATCCGCTGGATAGTAGATGTCCAATATAATTATTTGTATATTTACTTAGTGGCACTGAAATTCTACATTCATTATTGCACGTTGGATTCTTTGAATCATTTCACGTAATTTGATGTCTGTGATTCTTGCATGAATCACTGACATTATTTGAGAAACTAACTCTTTAAGTAACCCGCGATAAATCAACTTATTAGACGAATGCATCAACGCATTCATTCCTTATAAGGAATATTAATTAGTAATACAAGTTTTATTAAATAAATTATGAGAGATATGGTTTAATTATATTATTTACACAGTGTTACATTATTTATTGTCTTTTTTTGAATGGCCATATTGGAACGTTTCATACAAAATTTCAACAGATCACATACATAACACATACATATATATATATATATATATATATATATATATATATATATATATATATATATATATTCTGTATGTGTGTGTGTGTGTGTGTGTGTGTTTCTTTTATCTGTAATTTGTGTTTAGTAAATATTTTTTTTAATTTTTATAATGGAATCTATCATTGTCTAACTACATTTTTGATAGAGAGTCCAAATACATAAAATAGGAGGCATATTTTCCACCTCTTTGTGTGTATATATATAAATATATATATATATATATATATATATATATATATATATATGTGTGTGTGTGTGTATATATATATATATATATATATATATATATATATATATATATATGTATGAATGTGTGTGTGTGTGTGCGTGCGTATTTTTGACCATGAATCATCCCCATATATGTGTGTGTGTGTGTGTGTGTGTGTGTGAAAAATCAAAGGGGAAAACTGTGCTTAGATACGTTTTCGATTTCTCTGAGGGATCATGGCAATGTTGGATTTTTTTTTTTTTTTTTAAGCATTGTGCCCCAAGCAAGGCGTGAAGCCACTAGGATGCAGGGGGTTGCGGAAGATTTGGAGCGAGAGCAGATAAGAGTGATAGGAGAAAGGAAGAGGAGAAGGATAGTGGGTAGATCAAGGTAATTGGAGATGTCGATTGACATTACATTTAAATAGTTGGAGATTATAGCTTTCAGGGAAACAGTAATTGGGGAGGGTGTTCCACTGGCGAGAGGTGCGAGGTATGAAGCTATTGGAGTAGAAGAGACGGCTACATTTGAAGGTTTCTACGGTGTAAGGGTGAGAGCGGGATGCCAGCCTCGTAGGGCGCTTGAATTCATGGAGTCTGGGAACCAGAGAGAGCAGCTCATCAGAGCAGTTACCATGGAAGTATTTGTAAAAAAAAAGACAGAGAGAGGCGACGGCGCGTCTGTGAGAGAGTGACTGCAAACAAGACGCTAGATCAGGGCCAATTAGATTACATATCCTTCTCTGGATCTTGTCAAGAAGGTAAAGGTAAGCAGAAGGTGCTCCAGCCCATATATGGCAGCAATACTCCATGCAAAGGGCGAATGGTTGTTTTGTATATTTGAAGTATCGATTCAGGGAAAAAAATTTCCTGGCGCGGCACAGAGAGCCAACTTTCCTCGCGGTGGAAGAAAGCAATTGACTCAATGTATTTGTTCCATCTCAGGTCAGCAGTCAGCGTGAGACCGAGCAGGGAGTTGCTTTGTTGCACGTGTTTATATACAAAGGCAAGGGTATCATTCCTTTATCAAGGGTTTTAAATTAATTATACTCGACCTCTTATATGTTGAAAAATCAAAATCAAATTGTTAAATCAATTATCACATATTCTTGAAGATGTACAGTACATATGCACATCTCATGATATAACAATCTAATCACAATTTAAACAATATTTACTATTTACATTATTCGGATTGTCATTTGTTGCCATATTTATCCCAACGTACGGGCTTCTTCAGATGGTTGGAATGTCGAACTGAACCCTTTATTTCGCTTTATTTCTAGTTCCACGTGCCATGTTTAATGGACGTCAGTTATCAGTTATCTCCTGTTATTTCATTGATTATTTCAGTTCTCATTTGCCTTGAGTCCTCACACACTTTTAGATCCTGTCATTGTATCTAACTAACGTCTTTATCCACTGTGCCATGTGTCCTTGAGGACATCTGTGTATGAATTTTTGGGTATTATAAACCTAATGTCTTCAACCACATTTTTTTACCAGTGCTCATATTCCAATTTTTCTGTTATCATTGTATGTTTTTACCAGAGCTCATATAGCAATTTTCTTTGTTATTATTGTTTTTCTCTTGCACTCCTTATTACTAGTTCCCATATTGTAATTATTTCTATGCTTGGTCGGCTCAGGAGATTTTTGTGGCCTAGCATATGTGCTGATCCTTAAGTTTACGAATTTTCCAATGATGTTTTTTGTCTATGATTTCAACCTGATTCCACAGAGGGCGGTGATTTCCCTTTTCTCGACATTCCAACCACCTGAAGATAGCCGGAGCGTACAACGGCCGAAACGTTGTGATAAATATGGCAACAAAGATGAGGATGATAGTCCGAACAATGTAAATACTGTAGATAATGCCTCATCTCAAAAATATAGACAGAAATTAAACAATATTAATTAAAGAAATATTCTTGAATATTATTCGCTTTTTTGCCAAGCTTTGAATTATGACACTTTTTTATCCTTCACCTGTTTTGACTAACCTTTCCACTACCTGATAAACATTCATAAAAAAACAAAAAACGGCCTCTCCTGACAAAACCCAACGAATCAAAAAGTTTATTATCCTGCCTACTAATTTTATCAAATATACAATCGAAAAGAATCTAAACTCAACATAAAAATCGTTACTTCAACATCCAAAACAATAAAAGACTTAATACTAAATAAAACAATAAGCTAAAACCTGAAAAAGTAATTTATTAAATGGTCTGTAATAATTGTCACGAAAAATTCATAGGAGAAACCTCACAAAATCTAAATAAAAGATTATATGAACACAAAAGGGACATTTTACAAAATAATACATCAAATGCGTTGGTTGCCCAGCGTAACGAGACTGACTACAAATTTGACATAAAAATGCTACCCTGATCAAAGGAGAAATAATTCACTACGACGTAAATGTGTAAAGAGTGCCTTAATCGCAAGGTCATCCACAGTAAATTTGCGTCCTGGCTCTTCCAATATTTCACAATTCCCAGCAGATCTAATATCATAGTGTGAGATACCTACTTACAAAAGTGATGAAGAGAAAAAGAAAAAAATACTCTAAATGAATTCGGGTAAAACAAAAAAATTCTAAAATTACCAGTACCTCTCTTTTTTGCATATGTATAGTCTTACTAACAAATTTAGCCCAATGAAATCCTTGAAGTACGAAATGCGCCACAAGTAAACTTATACATTTTGAAATATATATATATATATATATATATATATATATATATATATATATATATTGATATTAAAAAAGAAAAAAGTCAAACAATTTATTTATTAAAGACATTTTTTTATGTTTAACGTTGTTTTTTTATAGATACAAGTATTTAAGTAAATGCTATGTTTATGATAAACAGTATTAAATAAAATTAATGACTGAATGTT